ATATTATAATTCTATTTTAAGAATATTATGTCCATAGTTCTTACTTCTTCAGATAAAGATGTACACTTCCCTGACCCCAATTTGAAACATTTTTTAAACCAATAAAGAAAATTAAGGGTACATAGTTTACACTTTGTAAATGTAAATTATGTCCCAAAAGTATATGAAGGTAAAAAGATGAATTAATATATTATTATTTTAAACATTACTTTAATAATAGAATATTAAATCATGGGTATTATAAAATAACCATTAAAAGAAGTATTCTTTCATAATGTATTGAAAAGCTTAATCATGAAATTAAATTATATAGTATAGGGCTGAGAACTAACATTAGAAACCCAAAATTAACAAAATATTGGTTCAAAATATTATATTGTTTAAACAATATCTTCCATTATTGGTTTAACTTGTTAATAAATTTAAAGAAAAAAATAGTGTTTTTAAAAAATTTTGTTTAATAAATATGTATTTTTAAATAAATATATATGGAATAAAACTATGAAGCACTATTGTTTTAGAGAACTGAACCTAGATATTTTTCCTGATTCCTTTTTAAATGATAATTCTGAAAAAGATAAGAAATTGAAAAATTATCTTTGGCAATCATAATTTCAATTTTTAATGTTTTCCTTGACAATAAGCTTAGTGGGGGATCAAAAAATACAATTAAATTTTAGAAGATTTATCTTAAATTATTGAAAAAGCTAAGTTATTTTTAATAAAATATTTAGGAATTAATAAAATTATTAAAAAATTATAGACTGTACATTCCTCAAAAAGAGATTAATGAACATTTGAAGAGCAATAAAAACAAAAAATTAAAGCCAACCAGCTCACACTCATTGAGATGCAGAATCCTTATATTTCAAAGATAAAAATAGCACAATTAGCTGTTGATTAATTCGTTTTTAATTTTGTAATTGAAGAATTACAACTATTTTCAATTGTAGAAAGCATTGTATTTATTAATATTATCAAAATATTGTAGCCAATTAAAAATGTGATATCTAGGCCTACCCTCGTATTAAAAAATAACAAATATGACACCATGGCAAAGAAATTAGTATATTTATTGTGTATCCCAAAAATTGTCTTTATAACTGTGGATATCAAAATGGTATATAAAGTGTATATTTTATAGATTGATAATATTGTCTTTTAGAAAGTTCTTATCTAGGGATGACGATACACTGGCTACATCCAGGCACTCTTGAGAGGGTTTCAGCTTGTTTAGTTTGTAAAAGCCTAAACCAAAAAAACACATTAGATTATCTAGCAAAAATAATCTTTGAAATTTTTACCATATATAAGATACAAAATGTGACCAATTGCATTACCGGCAAGAAATTATATAAAAGCTTTCAAGTAAAATATAATATATGAACAAGGAGAGAAATCGGATGATGAAATAATTCTTCTGCCATTATTTGATCTATTTGAAAATCAAAATACTAATTATCATAAAAGATGTTTTTTTTATATTAAATTTATTTTTTTGATAATTTTCGAAAGTCGTAAAAAAAAATTGTCAAGAAAAATAAAAATATAAGGAGTTGAAACATCATAGAAATAAAACATTGTGATATAAGAATAAAATATTAATTTGTTGTGTAAGAAGATTATGTTAGATTATTTAAGAAATAAAACATTGATCATTGATCATTGAACAAATATTATTTGCGGTGAGTAAAAAATAATTATTGTGCAGGAATATTAAAATAGATAGAACTATAAAACATTTAGGAATAGCAAAATATATTGTAAGAAATAAAACATTTAAGAAATAAAACATTGTAAAATATATTATAAGAAAAAACACTAATGATAGTATGATATACTTAACTAAGCATCATTCATGTTCACCACACACTTTAAATCATTTCAAGTGTTGACACAATCTTCAAACTGTGCAGCCATTTTTAAGGAAAATATGAGAAGATATCTGATTAAGTTATAGCAAGATGGAACTCTTTTTATAACTCCATGAAATTAATAGTTTAATTAAGGAGAATTGCCAAAAATTTGAAGAATCTTGTGTTAAATCTGAATTACAGAGATTTTCAGATATGGACAAGTCGTGAATGAATATTGTGTTAGTGTTAATTAAGAAGTATGATATGTATATATATGATCTTATAGGTTATGGAACCGATTGCTATGGCTCTTTCAACTTTAGAGAGCGAAGAAAAAATGCAATTGGCATATCAAACTCCAACGATAACTATTATAATATTAAAACTTAAAAAAAATAGCTTTAAATAATTTCTAGTTTTGTAAATTTAATCCTAGAAAGCATAGATATTTAAAAAAGTAATGGGTTACTCGTTACTAATAATTAAATATTATATACAGAAATTATTTTTCTTTATTTTCCGGTGAAACGAAATAAAATTTGTTATCCTCAATCACAATATAGAATGCCAAGATTCAATATTATGTTAGAAGTTATTATTATAATTGTTAAGTTTTGAGTTGATTATTATAAAAAAAGGAAGATTAAATATTAAAATATATATAACATCAAACCTTTTTTGTATTTAGAAGTACGGGTAATTTTATTTTGAAATAGAATCAATTGAATAATAATTGCTGAATGAATTTTTAAAATGATTTTGTTTCGTATATATATCTTTTTTCTTTTAATATTCAAATAACATACATTTTTTTTAACCAAAAAAAAATTTGAATAACGAAAGAAATTAATAATTTTAACATACAATGCCCAACTAAAATTATTATATAATAATAATAATAACTAATTATAATATTCAAAATATAAAAAAAAGGAATTCATTATTTAAAAAAATGAATAAACACTACAATAATAACTAATTATAATATTCAAAAAAGTAATTACATAACAATATAAAAAAAATTAATAAAAAAAGGAATTAATTATTTAAAAAAATGAATAAATACAACACCATCCCCCTTAAAAACCCACTTGTGTGGAAGATTTAGGCTGGTCAATATCCTCCCTTACCGATAGCAGGGCATTGTTGTCTGAGGTTAACGCCGCAGTTGGACAGTAACGTAACTTGTGGGTGCCTCCGCAAAACCAACACTCCATTCATTCGACTTCTCCTGACCCAATCTTGATCTGTTCTGGTCTCATATCTTGGTCTTTTCGTTACTTCTTGCAATAACTCTCCATATCTTTGTTGTGCCTCCACCGTTCTATCCTTCGACTCTACGGATCTGTCAACCTCTCGTATTTCGATTTTAATAATTTTATTTCCTACTCTGACGAAGGAAGCCATCTAAAACAAATTACTATATAATTTAATTTTTAAAAAAAATTTTTTTTAATGATCTCCTATAATCTCTCAGATTCTCGTAATTATTTTATTCTTCTATACATTATGATTCTCATAACTATGTCTATCATCAATTCCATCTCGTCAGAAATTATGATTCTCATAATTATGTCCTTCATCAATTTATTATCCTTAGAATTATGATTCTCATTATTATGTCTATCATCAATTCCATATCGTCAGAAATTATGATTCTCATAACTATGTTTATCATCAATTCTATATTCTCTGAAATTATGATTCTCATAATTATGTCTATCATCAATTCCATATCGTCAGAAATTATGATTATCATAATTATGTCTATCATCAATTACCATCTCATTATATATATATATATATTTTCCTTAATCCTAAAACATTCTATCTATAATTATCTCCAATATTATTGCTCTAAGTATATAGGTCTTACTTGTTTGATATGTCTAGACCAAGTTCCCTTTTGTCCTTCAATTTCTACCGCAACTCCTTTTCTTCCTAAATTTCTCTTTACTATTCCCTTCCCCCATTTAATTGGACCATAAACATAAGAATCCAAACTAAGCTTCCAACCTTAAATTTCTCCTCATATGTATTATCCTTTTGTTTTATTTTTTCTTTCAAAAAATCTAATTCCATCCTTATTTTTCTACCTAAAATATCTCCGCGGGTGACTTCTCTTTGACTGTCTTAGTGTTATTGTAAGCTAATAACAATAACCACCATTTTCCTTCTCCATATTTTTCTTTCTTAAGCCAGCTTTTTACAATATACCATTCTCTCGGCCTGTCCAGTATTTCTCGGGTAATGTGGTGGCGATAATAAATGCTTAATATTCCACCTTTCACAAAATTGGTCAAACAATCTACCTTTAAACGCTGGTCCTCCATCCGAAACTAAAGTTTCCATTAATCCAAACTTACCTACAAAATCCTTTATTCTCGTAAAGGCTACTCTTGTCGTTAAACCTGACACCTGTTGACAATCTATCCATTTCGACCCAGCATCTACCATGATAAAATATTTTCTTTTTTCATATTCTAAAAAATCTACATGTATTCTTTTCCCTGGAACCCCAGTTTCTGGCCATTTATCTGTTTTATTTTTTGCTGGTACATTTGCCCACATGTTACAGGTATCATAACTTCTAGCTAAACTTTCTATTTCCCTATTCATCTGAGGCCACCAAATATATTCCCGTGCTTTATTTTTCATCCTTTCAATACCTTGGTGTCCTGTATGTATCGTTGCTAAAATATCTTTTCTTAACTTCCATGGAATTACTACACGATATCCTCTCATCAGACAATTGCCTTCAATATTTAATTCATTCTTAACTCTTTTGAATGCTTTGCCATTCTATGTCTCCTTTCAAACATGCTTTAATTCTCATTAATTCTTCATCTTGTTTAGATACATTATCTACCAGTTCCAAAGTTATCGGTTTCTCTCTAGTATCTACTTTCAAAGATCTTATAATATTATTCAGAGTTGTTAAAAGATACTTTTTAAATGGATCTAGATACAGATACATAGTCTCAAAAGTTATCTAGATACAGATACAGCGTCTAAAAAGTTATCAAGATACAGATACAATTTTAAAATGTATCTGTATACAGATACATTTTTTTATGCTCTTATAGGTTTGCATAAACCTAAATTAATATTATATTGTGAAAATTCATGAAATGAGCTAAAAATTTATTGACGCGATATAACATTTATCAGAATATAACTAAAATTATAATTTTAATATAATATATGAAAATATATGATTAAATAATTATTAGATTTCAGTAATAAAATATTTTCAAAATTTTGATCATTTAGGCATCCTCGTTTATCTGTGAAGACATTTTTAGCAACACTAAATAGTCTTTCCACAGGGACGCTTGAAGGAATTGTAGTGTTATATTTAATAAATAACAATTTTATATCAGTTCTTTAAAAATGCTAAAATCTCTACATTTATTTTTGAAAAAGTTATTTAAAATTTGTTGATTATCAAAATTTAAATCATTATTAGAAATTATATCTGCTGTAGGGTACTGAAAAAAATCTGAAATTAAATTATTTGTTTTTTTTGGCAGGTTATTTGCTTGCAGTCAGTTGATGACTTTGATAATTCACCAGCTAATCTTTGTATCAATTGTTTTCTTTTATAATGGCTGCATGCCATCTATAATAAAAGCAATAATTAAATCATCTAAAGTGCCTTGAGTTAAAGTCAAAGGTCTTTTAGCAAAAATATTATTGGAGGATGAGCCTTGCCAATATTTTCTTTAGTATTTTATTTTCCTTCCCCTTTTTTATTTTTGTTAACAAGGTTGGATATTTTCTCTTAAAATTTTAATTAGAATTTTAAATATATAATATCTATACCCTTATGTGCTTCACGATATTGCACGTTGAAGTCATACTGACGGATATTTTTGTATTTTTAGGTAGACACGGCAAACCTTTTACCATCAGAGAATTAATTGTTTTCTTTGTTTTGAGATATTATTTTAAAATATGCTCAATTTGGCCATGGTAAAGCAATAGAACTTGTTGCTTCCTCTTCTTCATCGATATAGATCTAAATAAATATATAAACTTAAAAATTTAGTTATAAAATAAAATTTACCATTTCCATATTGTAATATTAAAATTTGTATGGTTTATTGATAAACTCGGACATAATATTTAAATTAATGAATATTTATATATATTTTTTATATATAAGTTTTAATATTTTATATATATATAATTCTTTATTATAGTATTAATAAATATTAATATATAATATATATTTATTTATTTATTTCATAAGCTCATATGAAATAAAATAAATTTTACAGTCAAATATTTTTATTTATAATAAAAAAAGGGGTATATAAAATGTATCTTAAAAAGTATCTAAAAACATATACAGATACCTCTAAAAAAATATCTAGATACAGATACCTTTCTAAAAAATCTATCTTGATACAGATACAGATACTACATTTTTATATCTAGATACAGTATCTAGATACTTGTATCTAGATACTTTAACAACTCTGATATTATTAACTTCCTCTTCTGCTAAACATATTTCTACATTATTGGTTTTGGACTCTCTTTCTTCCTCTTCTGTTTCTTTTATGAATAATCTTGACAAAATATCTGGTAAACAATTTAATTTACCTTCTCTGTATCTAATTTCAAAATCAAAATTACCTACCAATAACAACCATTTTTGTAACCTGGGCGAAATCATTAACTCTTTATTATCTTTTCTAAATAGTCCTACCAACGGTTTGTGATCAGTATATAACAAAAACTTTCGACCCAATAAATACTCTCTACATTTAGTTAGACCAAACTTTACTGCTAACTCTTCCTTTTCTATAGTTGAATAATTTTTTTCTGCCTTATTTAACTGTCTTGACAAAAATAAAATAGGCTTCTCTATATTATCAATCATCTGTAACAATACTCCTCCTATACCTTCATTGGACGCATCAACTGCTAATATAATATCTAAATTCTCATTAAAACAATTTAATATAGGTTTCTCTACCATCTTTATTTTCAATCTTTCGAAACTTTTCTCCTGTGCTTCTCCCCATTCAAACTTTTTATTTCTCTTTAATAAATCATACAACGGAGTGGCAATTTCTGCAAAATTTTGAACAAAACGATGATAATAATTTGTTGCTTTTAAAAACGCCTGTACTTTCGTTTTATTAATCGGGGCTCTCGTAATTTCATTACCCTTAATAATATGTCCTAAATACTAAATTTCTTTTACTCCAAAAACACTCTTATTCATATTGGCTCTTAAACCATTTTCCAATATTATATCTAACACTTTAACCAATCTAGTATTGTGCTCTTCTTCTGTTTTACCCAATATCAGAACATCATCTAAATAATACATTACTCCTTTTATTCCCTGAAATAACGCCGTCATAGTCCTTTGAAAAATTGGCGCTGAAACTTTTAAACCAAATGGTAGCCTACAAAACGCAAATAAACCCCTATGTGTTGTTATCGTTAACATTTTACTTGTATTCTCATTAACTTTAATCTGTAAATACGCATTAGAGAAATCTATCTTTGAGAAAAAAATCGCTCCTTTCAAATTTGCCAACAGTTATTCTATTCTCGGTAAAGGATACTTTACCGTTATAATCCAAGGATTTAGTGAAATCCTATAATCTATGCATAGCCTTAGACTATTATCAGGTTTTTTTACTGGCACTAACGGTGTTGCCCATTCGCTATGTACTATCGGTTTTATTATACCTTCTTTTAGCCATTTATTTAATTCTGTATCAATCTCTTCTATCCAAGAAAATGGCAATCTTCTTACTACCCAAAATTTAGCCTGGTAATTCTCTAATAATTTTATATCTATTTCCACATTTTTTAATGTACCCAACTCTTCTTTAAAAACCTCCCAATGTTGATCTAAAATAATACTCATTGCTGTTTTTATTTTCGACAATCTCTTCCTGTTCTGCTGCTTTACTTCTCTGTCTGTTGATTTCGATTGGTGTTACCTCAATAGAATTTATATCTTTTGACATCTTATTCTCTTTGACTTTATATTTAATCAAAAACTCTGGTGTTCGATTTCTAAGTTTATCGAGAACTAATTCTTGTTTATCCTTAGGTAACTTAAATCTATCGAAATCACTCCTTATTATTTCACTATTATCAATAAATTCTGTTGTTCGATTTCTAAGTTTATCGAGAACTAATTCTTGTTTATCTTCTATACTAGGTAACTTAATTTTCTCAAAATCACTCCTTATTATTTCACTATTTTCATCATTATCTACAGGGATAGTTTCGAAAAAATTCCACCAATTATAAACTGGACCTAATGTTCTTATATCACACCAACCTAAAATTGGTTCAATCTTCAACGTAGTTATCCACAAATTTATACTTTTATTAACTCCTGGTAACCTTACCCTATAATACCCTAAAATTTTCACCACGCTACCATCCAATTGTTTGGCTCTTATCTTTTTTGTAACAAATTCTTTCTCTGGCCAAAATCTCATAAAATCCTTAATACTTATCAAACTAATTTCTGCTCCTGTATTTAGTAAAAAACAAATTTCTGCTTCATCCATATTTATCTTTACTCTCGGGCATCTATTCTTCATTAAAAAATTCTCTAATTCCATTTTTCGTACATCTACACAAGTTGCATTTTAAATTCTATATATTTCAAAATCTCTACTTTTTATTTTTATATCATTCCTTTTACCTATACTTCTATTAATATCGCTTGAATTATAATTATCAACGTTAAAACACTTTTTATTATCACAAAATTTATCGTTCAGATTACAATAATTATTCTTACTTGCACTAACACTATCAACATTATCCAAATTATCATTATTAAAATTAAAATACTTATTTTTACTACAATTATTAACATTAAAAAAATTATTATAATTATCAAATCTATCATTAAAATTAAAATGCGTATTATTACCTGAACTAAAATTAGAAAAACTATTATTACCAAATTTATTATTAAAATTAAAATATTTATTCTTATTTGCTACTAAATTATCAACATTAAAAAAATTATTATTATTACAAAATTCATTATTAAAATATTTCTTTCTTAGTCATTTGTTACATTTCTCTTGAGTGTGTCCATCCTGGATACAAATATTACATCTCACAATCATATTGTTTAATCTACATCTTATAGCTAAATGGCCATTCCTGCCACATCTCTCGCATTTCAAATCCTTTGTTAAATCACAATCACGCGACATATGGCCTGGCTGACCACAGCTATAGCAACTAATTCGTCTGAAAATCTCTCTACTTCTAGAAATGTTTATGTTTCTCTCCTTATTTTCCTCATTTAATATACTTTTTATCTTATCTAATTCCTTATTTTCTATTTTGATGTACGATGTATTTCTACCTAAATTTAAACCTAATAAAAATGCTAAAACTGAAATTATTATTACCATTATATTTTCCAACAATAAATTCCTTAAAATAATTTGACTTAAATATACAAAGAATTCAAAATAATTTTAATCACAAATAACTTAATGCTGCGGCCAAAATTATACAACAATGTAATTAATATTATGATTAAAATAAAAGCATAAAAAGTCATTAAAAATAAAAGAATATATATTTTTTAACCTTAAATACGCTGATATATAAAAAAAATTGACTTTTAATCACAATTTATTTCTTCTAAATATAATTGTATAGTCTATTTATTAGACTGAATATCTGCGGTCCCTGAATATGTTTACTTCGGACCAGTGTTAAGTTTTGAAATTGACTATTATATAAAAAAAAGGAAGATTAAATATTAAAATATATATAACATCAAACCTTTTTTGTATTTAGAAGTACGGGTAACTTTATTTTGAAATAGAATTAATTGAATAATAATTGGTGAATAATTTTTAAAATGATTTTGCTTCGTATATATATCTATATCTTTTTTCTTTTAATATTCAAATGACATTTTTTTTAATCAAAAAAATTTGAATAACGAAAGAAATTAATAATTTTAACATATACTAACAATGCCCAATTAAAATTATTATATAATAATAATAACTAATTATAATATTCATTATTTAAAAAAATGAATAAACACCACAATAATAACTAATTATAATATTCAAAAAAGTAATTACATAACAATATAAAAAAAATTAATAAAAAAAAAGGAATTAATTATTTAAAAAAATGAATAAATACAACAATAATGTAAATTTATTTTTTTAGATCAAACTATAACATCGGTGGCGGGTATGCCATGTAAACACTAATTGAAATCCTATGAAGTATATTCAAAGTTCTGGAATTATTTTTCAAGAAGCTTTACATTTATCAGAAAATTCACAATATAAGATCTTTTGTTAATTATGTACTTCCAGCTTATACAATTTATAATTATAACATGAATTTTCTTATCTTATATACATTTGAATCATGGTCAGTACAAAGATAGTTACATCTAAAGAAAGGTTTTGGTACTTGTGGAACCAGGGTTGGGCAGTATCGCGGAATTTTGGAAAGTATCTTGTATCCAGTATCTAAGATGCATATTATTTAAAAGTATTTGTATCTTAACCAACTTAGTATTCAAAAAGATACAGATACTTTAAAAAAAATTTATATTGGTTAATTTAAATAGTATTAAAATTTAAAATGCTATTGTTTTAAGATTTAAATGAAAAATTTAATCAAAATTTAGATATTTTAATAATTTTTGATATATGACGTTGGTCGTCATATAGCAATTTGCTAACAATTAGAACTACCATATTTGAATCGTTTTATATCTGTCTATTTTAAAGTTATGGAAGAAGAAAATAGAATAATATGTTTATCTTCGTCTTCAGATGATTCTTCAACCGAAAATTATAACAATAAATTTAAACTAAGCATACTTAATGGCAAATTTTTTAAAGTACTTCAAGATGATCATAATAAAGAAATTCATCGTGACTTTGGTATTGACGAAAAAGTTATAACAACTGTTACAGATAACGGCTCTAACTTTAAGAAAGCTTTCAAGGAGTTTTATGGAAGCTGTAGAGAATGACTTTGACATCAATGATGATGAATGTATAGAATTCAAAATCATTGAAAGTATTATTTAATACTTCTTTAAAATTTATTATGATATTGTAAATTTAG